TGTTTGTATTTATTAGTTTTGTGTAAAGAAAGAATTTCTTTAACATTTCTAAATATATAAAAAATTATCATAAGAAAGAAAAGATTAATAGCGGTTCCAAACAAACAGCTGTAGACATCCAAATTGATTCTCGGTGCACAAACAAGTTAATTAATTACTTTTGACGGAACTGGGCTTGATCGCAGCTTATACGCAATCTGTCAGGTTGAATAAAGTTTATATGATCGTTTTAATTTCAATTCCGATCGAAAAAATAGAATTAAGAAACACTCTGTGTTCTATTACAATTCTTTGCGTTGCGCATTGAAACGGAGAGGAGATGCGCGGAAAATGAGAGTTCTTTCCGGGCCGGTCTTCGTTAAAAAACAAATGCAGTTGCTCTGCGCGGACTCTTTTCTTCAGTAGAAAAAGAAACTTTCTGTCAGACGAGCGCGGCAACACGAAAACGATTTCTATCCTTACCGTTTACAACGCGACAGTGGAAGCGCTCACGAACAAATTGCGATCACGGAGCTTTTGATCGTCAGCGTGACACACTGATGAAATGACAACCATTATTCAGATTAGTCGCGCGACAAAATGTAGATTAGATCGGACAAAACTTCGATTAATTTCTAAGCACGAAAAACTCCGAGTACACTTCGTGGTTGTTCGCCGAATTACTCTGACCGTTTCACGTCGCGTTTTCGTTACCATGTGTTTATGAGCGATCGCGTAAGGACGTTCGCGCGAAATAAGATCACATTCGCGAAATGAAATACCACTGAATTTTAAATGTACAAACAACTTGATAAATGTTAAGATAAAGTCTCGGTCTCGTATCTCGCAAACCTCCTTAAATAAACGCACGCACCGCGTTGACGACGTCAGCACGATGGAAATTTCATTTCACATTCGACAAGGATGAAATTTCGAATGCAGATTAGTTTCTTGTGCGCCGCGCCGTCGCACGCGGCGTCGCGACGGGAAGGCCGCAAGAATTACAACCGCTATAATGCTCGCGTTGTAAAACCCATTTGTATCAGCGCGGGCTTATGCTTTGTGTGACGTTACTTTACATACGTAGATCGCGTTAAGGCAGCGCACGATACCTGTTAGCAATTTTATTTTAATCGTGATTTGTAGCAACCGTCCTTCACACTTGTCAGATATAATTTAATTCAATTTCTTGGCAACGATATTTTCACTTCAGACCATTTTGTACTATTGTACAAGAACGCCGAGTCACTTTATATATATATAAGTGTGTATGTGTGCGTAAGATACGAATAATTAGATGAAAGGATAATCGAGTAGAACCTGAATTCATCATGACAAGATGTTCGCTACTCCGAATTGCAACAGAGATGCATTCGAATTATGGATACATTTATCATGTGACTGCGGCATGGTTTCATTTCCAGCTATGTGCATCTAAAAGTTTCGTAATTAGGAAAATCTGAATTTTATGCGTTTAAATGAACTCATTAGACGGAAACTTTGCAAGATCCGGAGAATTTTAGATTAAATTTGAAATTGTTATATTTCGTGAAATATTCATGATATATAATACTTTTACGAAACTTTTATAGAGTGGCTTCTGTTTGTTTCTACAGTTGTCGCAAATACAATTTGGAAAGATTTTTCAGGAAAACATAAGAGTTTTAATAAAAATATTATAATATATAAACATATACATATATATATATATATATATACATATACAACAAACATATACATGTATATATACATGTATATATATGTAAATAATATGTTGTATAAAATTCATATTTAAAATTTTAATCATGACAATCTCTCTTTCCTCACAATTATCCGTTTCTTCAATTATGTATGTGGTAATAATCGTATAGCTTGCTCGAAGGTGTCACATACTTGTGCGATAAATGTACAATAGCGTGGCCGTAAATTATTGAACTCAGGTGTACACGACTGGGCTTAGCTCCGCGCGTCTGACTAATCACGGACTGTAACCACTCAGAGGTTCTCTAATACTTCAGGGATCCCCAATAATTTGCGATTGGCCGAACATATCGTCTCTTCGTTATAACACATTCATTTTCCTCTATGTTTCTTGTGAGATCCTCGGTTGTTTGTAATCAATACGTAAATTCTATTGCAATAAAGATATCATATGTACAAAACAATAATATTTATGACGTAGTGACAATTGCAAGATAACTTTTATTTAAATTTCCTTTCTTGTTTAAAATTCAAGTGGATGTAAATAATAACGCAGGCATTCTGTTGCAACAATAACGAACGAGGTGAACGAAAGTGGACGAGCAGGACCGACAAAAGAGTCTCAACTGAAATTTGCGCAGAATGCACAAAGGCGCAACGTAAGAGACAAAGGAGCGCGTCTTCGCTCTGGTTTCGAATTGTCGTTCTAAAACCGTGTAAAACAATACGCCTCGTCTACTACGGCGCGCGACTATCTATTCGTCGGAGAAGAATCGTCTTATACGTCTAATTACTCGGAGGCATTGTTTACGCGGGGGCTTGTCGTTTGCCAGCCGCCTTTTCGCGTCAGTCTCTTGTTAGTCGAAATCCAAACTCGATATTACTCCGGCCTGTGTATCGAGTAAACGACAGAATCCGCTTTGAATAAAGTCACGTCGCCCGTGGTATATGAGCATGGCGCAACGTCGGGTCTTCGCTCCGGGGAGACAACCTTACTGTAACTGCGTGCGGTATAAAATACGATAAGCCGCGGTTATTTCTATATCGTCGTTTGTGTCATCGCCGATAACAATATTTTAGCGTAAATTATTGCTTTTATTAATAAATAAAAAGAGTAAAATAAAATTACTCTCTCTCTCTCTCTCTCTCTCTTTTAATTGATATATAAAAAAACAAGCAATTATTTATACAAATATTGTATTTATTAATATTTCGAAATTATTATTAATATGTTTTAAATATATATATATTTATTTATTTAACATATATTTTATATAAATTTTGCATTCTTTTGTTGGAAATTACATTTTTACTGTGATCATTGCAGGAGAGCTGAATATTTTCTCCCGTGTTACTCGCAACATACCCGCGAGAGTTGCAAATTCCACAGGAGAGAAAGCGAGTTCGGACATTTCGCCAACTTTGCACCGTGGCGGTGTCAAGTTTTATCGTTCCGCCTTTTCGCTCATCACATTCGAAACTTGTTGGACAAGGCCGCCGCCGCTATTGCTCATTGCAGCCGAGCGGAAAAGCTTGCTCTCGGGGTCTCGAACTTGATTCCGTTCCCTGTCGCAGCGGGCACGCGCTCACATGATGGATACACTTTGCTCGTATTGCGTGTGCGCGCGTCCCGGTGGGAGCGGCGATAAATGTACCTAACTTCTGCTGTTTTCTCGCAAAGTTGCGGATAAACTTTCTCGCGACGACTCCTCTTTCAGATGTAACAACGTGAACAGTCGTGACTTTGCATCAAAATCTTTACTCTATATGCACAGCAATCAAACGTCTCGTGCGCGTCACGCGCTCTAATCGTCAACTACTAGTGAAAACCGAAGGAAAGTATAAATTTTTAAAATTATGATTACTAGATAAACGAACGTTGTTGTCTTTATTTTGACTACAAGAAGGTTGATATGAGTGTCACATCAATTTAATATTATGATTCAAAGTGTCTAACAAGTCTACTAGCTTCGTTGCGCTTCGTAATGGAGTTATCAGTGTGCTGCTGTACAAGAGAAACTTGCCTGATTGGCGTTTAGCGCCTGCAACGCGCCAACCGGGTCGTCAAAGACGACGTTATTGCCGTGTTAAATTTCCGTACATATATCTCAATTATCATTTTTCCCGTCAAAGCTAATTTGCAATTAATTTTATCACAATTGCAACGTCTAAAATTTCTATCAATTATTTATCTACTTATTCATTACTTTAATTTTCATATTAAAGAGAATTTTTTTAAATATATCTGGAAATTTTCGTGTCGCATCTCTAGGTGAGAAAACTGGATTACTATATTGCTATCGAAGATTAATTTGCTTCCTGCATTGTATTTTTGTAGTTTATACACTGAAAGTCTGCAGTGATCGTTTCTGTATTTCTTTCTTGATCCGTGATGTAATATCGAGAAAACAAACGGGCCGTCATCATCCCCAATATAACCGGAAGCGCGGCGAGTGCCATGTTTTGATCTGTACGCAAAGTCTAGATGAAAGGATAAGAAATATCCCCGCGGAATATCGTCACAGACGCTGACACGACTTTAATGTTGTCGCCAGTAATATATATTCTCCTACATCCCGTGTCTACTTGACTATTTTTATTTTTACCATCTCTTCTCCGGTCGCGCGCAAACCAATAACTAGAGAAATTGCAACATGATTCAAGAGGAATTAATTCTCAAAAAAATAGTTGGATGTATGTATATATGTAATTTGATTATTTGCACACCCATGTGCAACAAAACTTGCCATTTAATTTGGAATAATAATTTGAATGAAATTGAATTATCGATAGTAATAGTCTTAGAAATTTGTAGATGGAATTATAATTGGTGTTCAATAACCCTTGACATTTCTTGTAATTTACGTTTATTTGATTTCGAGTTGTTAAACACACACACAAAGATACGATAGATTTATATATTTAATTACATTCATTAATAATTTATATGTGAATTATCAAAAGAGCGCTCATGATAAATTGTGCCTTTAATTAACTGAGAGACATGGCGTCGCGTGCTTGATTACTCGCGGGTCTCGTTAAATAATATTTTTGCATTATATAATTCATTCAATGTATTTTATTAATCACTAGTATAATACCAGAAGAAATAGTGATATACTTTATATCGCGCGAAGACTTCTGTAATTATCTTTTATATCTTATAATTTATAAAAGTGTTCGACAAGCGACTACGTACAAGCGAGCTATAAAAAAAAAACTAATAACCTTGTAATATTACTACATTATCATTGTAATAATATTTTACGTAAAAACTAGCAACAAAATATATTAACATAATAATATTTTTTATGTTTTAGCTAAATCCATGATTGTGGCAAAATGGTGGATCGGCAAAAAGCACTTTTAATAGTGTTATTAGCGCTCCTGATCTACCCAAACGACATCTTTGGTAAGTGGTACTATATCTGCAGAGAAATATCACAGATTAAAAAGAAGACTTGAAAGTGGTCAGTAAAATTTCACTCGATCAATATTAATTGCAACGATTCGCGTAAACGAATGCAGTGTGATTGAAACGATATGGTAGAACAAAAACAAGATTGATTTAATAAAATCCGTTAACGGATCTTTTCGGATGATCCCGCGATATTAGAATCCCTACGTAGAGAGTAGATAACTATCGCATCACGCAAACGAGCATTCGCGTTTGCAGATTTCGAGAGGGTCGAACCCGATGAATACGAGTGCCATGAGATATATATCGTACTATGTACGGGCAATTTTGCAACTAAGCCGCTCGTAGTGCACGACCACCTGTAAATACAATACCGGAACTAATCCGCTTTTGAAACGCACACTTGCGCGGCAGCACGACATACGGCGATATTGGCCTTACGACCTTCCACTCTCGGGTGAGATATTACTTTTTCTGAATATACGAATACGCGTGTAAAGCGAACAATTCAATTTTGCATTGCACGCGTTAAAATATGCGTGTGTATTATACAGTTTCCTATATATTTTTCTTTACTATATTTTTATTTTTAAGCAAACCCGCGTGTGATTTTTTATGTAAAGTAAAAAAAAATTTATTTACAAGTAACTGGGGCATATTCAGATAACTGTACAAAGTAGGATTTATCTTTACTTAAGGCAGATTTTTATATTTAATTACGGTTGTATTCAATACTGGAAGTTTTTTAAAAGGTTTCGCGAATTAAACTTCAACAATGCAAATAGATTTTCCGTTTAATTCAAGTAGAGAGTTTATTTGAGAAACAGAAATAAAGTGATTTTAATGGAAAATGTATCAGAGAAAGAGAAAGAGAGAGAGAGAGAGCGCTCCAGTTTTAACACTCACATGGCGAATCGATAATAATAGTTAATTAATAAACCAGTAAATAAGGATTATATATTTCAGATATCATAATATCTAATTATCTAGTAATTTCTTCATTATTATGCATGTATTAATTAATTACAATACTAACGTACACACCATTATGAGCAAATTATTCAATCATACAAGTGAACTGTTCGCGTGTAAAAGGAAATAAAATAATATGACAATCTTAAAAAATATTAATGAATAAAAAATATAGTTGAAGACAAATGAGAAAAGAGAACGCAGATATTATAAGTTTGTTGTAGACAAATGAGAAATTTCGCCACATACATACATACTCTATCAGAAAGAAAGAAGAGAATATATTGCTTTTCTCAAAGTCGTGTATTCGTAGTCGCATGATAATTTCCACCAAGGCAAAACGTCTTCATAACGAGTGAATGGCATTTGATTACTGACGTCACTCAATTTCAGCCGACCTCTCTCCCCACGTTCATGTCGAGTAAATAAGATTTCCTACAGGAAAACTAGCGCTTGGATATTCTTTGCGGATCCATTTCTCGCAAACAGGCAAGCGCCGTGACACCTGCATCCAATACGCATTCCCTTAACGACTGGCATTCTTCCGTTTTATCGTAAATTGCCCAATTTACATTGTAATCTCGACGAATTGTCACGTAGATCCGATTTTTTCTGTTTTCTTTTTTTATACATTAGATTCCGTTTAACCCTTTTCACTTCTTTTCTCCCAGAAATTTTTCGACGATTTTCTTATTTTTTCATTTCACTGTAGTTTGATGATAAATATTCTTTTTATGTAATGATAGATCGTATAACTAACATATATTATTCTTGAAGCTTGAAATAAATGTAGAAAAAGAAATAAAAGATCATTTCTCAATTATTTCCAACAACCAAAATCGATTTTTTTTCAATTTTATAATGATATAAAAAGTGAATTGAGAAGCGTATCTACTTTTATAAACTGAACTCAATGACTTATTTTATTATTCAATTTATTACTTACTTTATTACTTAAAAGTGTAGATTTATTTAAGTGACAACATTTATTTAAGTGAAAATAGTAAAAGATTGAAAAACTATATATATATGTTCTTAGTAAAAGAAAAAAATAAATAACAAAACTATATTTTTTCAACTTTTAATATGTAAAAACCATATCATAATTTGTAAATGTTTATAAGATATCATATAAATCATATCAGAATATTTTACTCACTGACTGTACACAAATTTGTAAAGCTTTGTAAAGTATAGCTTTGTAAATAATGTACATTTTGGAAGCTCTTTGAATCATGAATTGCAAACAGTTCTAAAACAAAATCTGTTCGAGTGGGAGAGCGCCACGATAGCTTTATAGACGCTACACTTCTAAATCGCAGATAATTCGAGTAGTTACGAGAAAGAGGAAAACAATAATTACGAACATAGGATGCAAGAACCCGTCAAAAAGTGCGAAATGTTTATTGCATGTTGAATATCGAATACTAAATGCGTGACACTGAAAGGGATAAATAAGGACAAAAACGTGAGAAGCATAGAAAGAAGCAGCATCCGCCAATCGGAAACTTCCGCTTATCGGTCGCTTAACGAAGGGTGAATTGAAAAGGAACGGCTATTCAGAAGCGGGCAAACGGAAGAATAAATTGAGTTAAATTAAACGAGACCTCCTCTTTTACGCTTTTCTCGAAGTGAGCGACGTCATTGATGAAGGCACCCCGCAATGCAAATTCACGGCTTTATTTAGATATTTTTCCTTTAATCCAAGATATACGCTGTCGTGAATACAGCATATCTTCCATCATTCTCTTCTCACAATAATGCTCGAGATAATCGAAAACAAAAAAAAACATGAGAATTTTATTTATATTTACAATGTAAAAATATAATATTTTTTTTCACGAAATATTTTACAACGCAACGTTCATCCGAAAATGATTCACGCTACGAAAGCAAAACGAACGAGAGGACTGTACAAACGCGCGTCAATGCATTTCGTTCTCAGCTCTCGTATTTCTACATTGCGATGAATTTAGCGCCGTGCCTAGTCGGTATAAAACCGAGCTCTTCCGCTTATGTTTTGCATTACCGGCACCACTGTCAAATCGCGACAAAACTCGCCTCAAACGTCTCATTACGATAGGCAAATCCGCTTTTGCGAGACAATCAGAAAACTGAAACTACGAGAAAAAGATAAAAGTCAAGGAAAGACAGAGAAAAAGTAAAATGAAAGAAGTGGAAAAGAAAAACCTACAATAATGCTGAAAAAATAAACTTCTTAAATATTACATTAATCTTGTAACACAATAAATACATAAACACAGTTAACATAAAAAATGTAAAAACATATAAATAAAATTCTAACAAATGTAAAAATATATAAATATATAAATAAATAAATATGTAAAAATATATAAATAAAATTCTTTGTATACAAAATGCACGAGAACTTTAATTAAAGATAACTACAGGGTGCGTTAAACATAAATAACATAAGTAAAGCGCAGATAAAAAAAGGAGGATCGAGTCAAAAGCCGAGAAAAAGAAAAAGAGAGTTATAAAACGAGAAAAATGAAACGCTGAAACTCTGGAACGACTTTCCGTCGAGAGTCGACTTCGCGAATATTTCTTTAGTCGGGCGGAGTTACATGCGGATGGTAGCTGTTGGGTGACGAGATTTGTAGAGTGTCTGTTTGCTTGTTTGGCCGTTTACTTTGGCCACTCGCGAAGGAAGAAAGTGCGTTTGTAAGCGCAGAAGCAAACGGCGTCAGGACCAGTGGCGCAACCTTTCTCTCCCTATGCAAAGGTATTTTGGAGTCTGTATTCAGTTAGTAAAAGATGCAATAATGTGTATCGATTAGTTCGAACAACTTTTGTAATTCTATCGAATTCCATCAAATTACGTTGGTGATTCACACAGTTATTTCAAACTTTGTTTTATTATAAATATATTTATAAAAAATTATGTTAGTATATGTGCGTATTTCCAGAAAGTATAACATATATATATATATATATATATATATATATATATTCTTGTAATATTGAATAATATGTATGAGATAGTTTTAGTGCTTTAACTTTTCTGACACATACGAGACGAAGCTGATGTTACTTACAATATTTTGAGTGAGCATGTGCACAATTTGATGCAACAATGTGTAGTTAATACATATTACTTTAATAAACTTTATCAAACTACATACACAGTGACAGCTTTGGCGCTTTGGATGCACGATTATGCGCATGATATAAATAAGTCGATCGAGTAAATTTCACGAAGTTCGTTCGCAATGAATTTTTGCGTCATCTTGGAAAATGCGAAGTAAATCTGTTGTATCTCAGAAATAAATTTTATATTACATACAATAAATAGTGAAAAAATATTTTATAATATAAAAATATCTAGACAGACGTTTTTTTGATAGAATTTTCTTAATAAAACTAATAAGAAATGCTAGATGTTTTGAAAACGATTGTTATTAGAATATTACGCTTGATATAAGCAGTAACTAATAATGAGTGATAAATTAATATTCTTCCAAGTGATTATTGCATTCGATGTGCGTACGAAATAATGCGCAAAATTATTATTGTCAAGTAACAATGATCAGTAGAGAGTAAATAATTGTGCATTGCATTACCATTTATGAGATAAATTGTTCAAATCATCGTATAATCGATAGTTCGCGTTTCGTTCTCTATCATCAGTTGGTTATTTTTCGATGTATCGATATATAATATGTCTCCATTCGAATGCATTTTATATTAAATACAACACATACGCGCGTATATATGTATACTAAAAAATTACACATTTACTTTTATTGTATATGTTTACTTCATAAATATTTATCAATGTACAAATATTACACATATAGAAATATTTAAGTGCTGCAAAGAGACACATGTTGAACAAATTTAAACTATCAAAATAAAAAATACGAAAAAAAACATTTTTACTAAAAGAAAAAACATGAAAAACAATAAATAAATCTTTTTATAGACGAATATAAAAATAAGTTTTGGAAATGAATACTGCTATGATATGAGAAGAAGCGACCGTCTAATAATGGAAAAGCCCTAGTACAAAAATTGCCCGAATTATCTCGCAGCAGAGTTTACAACGTTGAGTTTAATAAGACTGTTACAGGTAAAGGATTATATGTTGAGCAGCGAAAGCTACTAATTTGACTACGGGCTGTACATTCCAGCGTGAAGAAGAATTTTACGATATTTAATATCCATAACAGTTTTCTCTCTCTCTTTCTGTTTCTCTCTCTCTCTCTCTCTCTCTCTCTCTCTCTCTCTCTCTCGCCTTCTTTTCCTTTCTCTCTCATGTTCTCGACGGAAGTTCGATAATAAGCTACTCGCAATTTTCAACGAAGTTTCCGGACGGAAGACCGTGGCCTCTCCTGTACTTGCTGTTGCAACGCCGATGAGTACGACGCGCATAAGTAATTTATGCCAGTGCAACTTTTTAATATTGATAGAATGCGAATGGGTTATCGTCAATTTTCTGGCTTTGCTCTGCTAGCACCTTTAAACGATTCAAGACATAGATGTTAGATTAAAACTTCAATAAAATATCAGCGTTTATGCAATACAAGTATTTATAATGCACAAGCATTTATAATGTGGTTTTTAAACAGTTTTATATTGTTTCGTTTTTTTTTCTGTAATTTTTTTCTGATTTATCGGTTAAAGTTACAATCTATAATTTTTGTCGTTTTTTAATTATTTAATCGTATATTGTACGCTTTCAGCATATAAATAAAAATCAAATTTAATAAAATTTAATTGTAATATGTTCTAATTTCGTGCGCGCGCGCAAGAAAATTTCTTTTCACAAAATAATTAAAACTGTGCGCAGTTTGCTATGTGCGGCGCCTTAATTGTGAACATTACTTTTACTGAGACAAATGACTATGACCTGGTTTTTATGCATTCCATAGAATATAGTTATATTTTATGACTTGTAATATTTAGTGTTATGTTTTTGCGTATCACAAACTTGCATTATCGTTGACAACAGAATGTTGGGCGGTCCGTGTTGATCATCGCTTTTGCTTATAATACTTTGCAATCTTATTATTCCTGTTATGAGATAAATAGGTCAAGCTTGTCTCCTCTTCTTAGAATCTCTACTAGCTCCTTTATCGCTATACTCTTCGTTGTGACGTCGCGTTCTTCCGCATCGGATTTTCCTACCTCTAGAATTTTGTTTTGTCTCTTTACAGAACGCTTCACAACAGCACCATCCCGTTTTATAATTCGCTTCTAATCACTTACCGTTTTAATTGCGTTGATTAAATATTGTAATATTTTAATTTTTAAATGACTGTGAAAATTTAGCTCTAAAACTTTCTGGTAAAAATATTAATATAAATTTGCTTGCATTGTATTTATTTATACAGTTAATCTTTTTAATATGTTACGCACATAAGTAGATGTCACATGCATAAAATAATTATATATATGTGAGATTTTAAAATGAGCTTAAAATATATAGAAAAACTCATAATGACAGAAGAGCACTAAGTTGATTATACCGATTTAATATTGCAAATTTCTTTGTTGACTGCTACTTTTGTTCATCGATAGTGATGTCACATAATGATGTCGTGGTTTGAAAATAGAAGTATATATACATATACTATATGTGTGTGCGTGTTTAAATAATTTTGATATAAACAAATAATTTTCTAAATAAACAACTAAATCAATCAGTCTCAGATATATTGAGTATTTTTTCTAGAGTTTGCTCGAATAAGCGAAAAATATTGTTATACTAATGCCAAGCTGTATAATTTCTCTCTCTCTCTCTCTCTCTCTGCAAGCCTCGCGTATTGCAGAACGTAAAAATCTTCAAATCGAGTAGCTTATGCAGCAGCTGGGACAGAAATTTCTGCGGAAGTATCATTGTCCTGTTTACTTTGTTGTACGCTGCTGCCGGATACTTTTAGTAAAAATTTATGCAAAAATATTAGGCGTGCATCTTTTCGGTATTGTTGGAAGCCATTGAACCATGGTACATTTTCTATAAACAACGTTTCTGGACTCACGAACAAAAAGTATTATTTTTAGATAGTTATTACATGGGAATCGTGAAATATAAGAACAATGCTTTTGAAGAGTCAGTTTTCTTCTTATTGCTCGCGTAGACTTTACCATTTGTGCGTTCAACCGAGTCTCTTCGCGTCGACTTGTCTCGTTTCTCACTATAAAGTGATCGATTCAATCAACATCTGCGTCATTATTCTGTAAATTACCGGATAACCATCTCGACGCGATATTCGGCTGCCGATTACACGATTAATTCAATTCGTTCGACGTGCGACTCATTTCGCGATGGTTTAGTTCATATTAGCGAGACGTAAAAATTATTTGACGCCACGCTCACAATGCATTTAGTTGCGACATTGAATAATAAATTGTATCGCAGACGGACGCGCGTTGAGAAAATAAATCGCGGAATTTCACATAAGCAGAGAGTACAATAGGTATTGTATACATCCCGCATCCATCGATACGACGTATTTCGCGTAAATGCCAGTGAAACGATTTACATTACATACCTTACGCATCGTATTTTTGCGCTTTTTCTCTTGCGCACGACTGCCACGTCATATCGAACGCTATGGCTATTGTCGTGTAACAGTATTACTTATAGTGCAGCCACGAAACAATTTGAAAACACATGAAAAATGTGAAAAAGTAAAAAGAGATACGTATTGTACATGTATAGAGAGCGATACGGTAGCTGTAATCACGGAGAAGATTCGATATTTATGGCAACTGCGTGGGCTGCACGCATATAATCTTGCTTTTAGGAAGATAACGTAATGTTATACGTTTTTCCGAGACAACATGAATTATATTTTTTCAAGAACTGCAGAGGTTGTAGATTTTATCGTTTTATCGTTTTTCCATCATAAAACATTCGTAACTTTGTATGTAATTATCGAGGCGGAGGTAAAGGCACTTGAAGATATCATATTCCGTGACGATTAATGTTACTCATGCATAATGGGAAGTTCGCTCAAGTGCCGCGCATATGGCAGCGATTCTCGCTAATTCGACGTCACGTCTATGCATTTAATTTGCAGTCGCGAAACGCGTCTCCCTTTCTCCCCCCTCCACCTTCCTTCCACCTGCATTTCGTCGAGTCGCGTACTGTGCGAGCCTTGTGACGTTTATTCGCTTTCCATAAAGTGCATTCTGTACGACGGCGAATTGACGTCGCTGTCGAAAAATTGCCAGCGGTGTGCGGTATGCAAATTGCGTATGTATTTTTCACGAACGTCGTACGTATTTTATCGTTTCAGGCGGCGCTTTCCAGCCCGAATTCTCCGGTCCTATCAACAATCTAACCATCGCACTCGGGAGGGACGCCACTTTTACGTGTCTGGTGAAACATCTAGGAGGTTACAGAGTAAGTTGTATGAAAAGCGCGAGCGCGCGTCCGTTATGTCCGTAACGCTCGCTTAACTTTCCGAGATGTCTCACTTAACTTCTGAAAGGACGTGTCTTTAAAAAGTCGTATTTCCCATTCTGACTCCTCTAGTCTAAACTTTTGCGGTACATGTACATTTTCGTCGTCGCGACATTTATTCGATACTGCGGTTAAATATCCGACTGTCATAAAAGTTTATCACGAAACACTCAAAATTAAAAGTAAAATGACGACATGTACATAGAATAGAATCATTATGAATAATTATTCGGACATAATTTACGAGCGTTTGTATTAAAATTCTTACTTTTGAAAATCGGCTTTTGTCTCTTACGGGAAAAAGCAGTACAAAATGAGTCTGTAACAAGGAAAGCAAACTTCAACGAGACGTGTACACGGAAAATACATTCAACGCTTTTTAAATAATCTATTTTGGTAGGAGTTCTTTTTATAAACGCAAAAGTCGATCTTGATATCTGCAGAATTCTCACTTCAAGAATGGAAAGAATTCGAGGTAAAATTTTTCGCTTATACTTATTCTCTTTCGCTCGACTTTCTTCTTTCAGAAGACCGGATAAAGAGAATTTTCTCGATACACGCGTCTATAAGAAAGGCACAAGCGGCCTTTTCCTGACGCATTAACGAAATCTTTTTATAAAGCTAATCTCGGATCGCGCCATCGATCGCAAGCACGAGCGCGCGCGAAATAACTTGACTTAACACTCGTTATTACGAGCTGGAAATTCACGCGTTTACGGCGGTAGAATTTAATAATAGTTTTATCCGCGCATCGCCGCGGTAAGAATTATCTTTTTCACGCAATATCGTTTCTCTTCGCGTGTTCGCAAATTGCATTACCCTATACCCGGCGAAAACCGGTATAACCAGCAACTGTATAACCATTACGAGGTATAACCAGTTGCTTCTAACGGACGTGTTTGTTTGTAAACGGTCGGATGTGTTTAGACTATAGACCACAGAGGCAGCTATCCATATCTAACGTCTCCGATGAAACTGCAAACTATAGATCGGAAGGCCGGATTACGTTTCGCATCGATACGAATCACTGCTGTCAATTTGTTGAGGCAAAAGCAAAATATCAACATTAGAACGCGTTTCATTGCCGAATTAATTGTCGACTGTTTCCTTCATTTTCAATCTTCATTGCATACACATACATAGAACTGCACAATTATTATTACGTTTAAATTAATTGCGCGGTACAACGAGGACATTGATTTTATATAAATAAATGTCAACGACGTTTCGTGTCGGTCAAGTTAAAACAATTGGGACCGAATTTGTGATATAAAGCACAGCCGTGATGTATGTGTGTGTGTATGTGTGTGCATGCGCGCGCGCGCGTTAAAAATCTGTCGGGTATTAGATACATATCAAAGATTTTTTCCATAACTGCTTTTTAAGAGAATCTGAAAGTCAAATTCGAAGAGCGACCGATATATATCCACAAGCAACTCATTTCTCGATATCTTTATATAAACGATTCCGCATCGAGCAATTGAGATTTTATTGAGCAACCTTTAAGATAGTTACAACAGCGAGATAACCTTTTGTGCTCAAAAAACATGAGGAACTGTCGATGATACTTCTGTCGAAGAGACGGAAATTTAGTCCCGCTTGCTGCGAACACACGAAGATGTCGATGCCTTTCTAGTTGGCGGAACACGAAACGACATCCTGACGCGCGCGCGCGTACACGCGGGAATAATGACAGAGTCACGGCGCGCGCGGTCGGGTATCCGGTTTTCTATTACTAGTCCTGGAATAGGCGGCATATACAGGTGGTACGTAACTGTGGATGCGCGCGCGTGTGCCTGCGTTCGTCTGCTCGCTCGCGTGAAATCGCTCGAGTTCCTCGCATCGGAGATTCGGAATATTCTAAGGAAAATGCAAATACCGCGCTGTGGAAGTTTGGCCAAGGGGAATCGCGCGTGTGTCGATCTATCTATGTGTACGTGTGTGTTACGTACGTGCGTGTACACCTCGCGGTATAAGCGTATATATAGTACACGCGCCTTCGCATCTGTTTGTATTCTGCAGTCGGTTGTCTGTGAGGAAATTGCGGTGTCCTCGGAGAAATCCGCGACGGCGTCATCGTGATTTCCGGTGCCGACGTCTCGTCTCTCCCTCTTTCTGTTCTCCGTTTGCCCTATTAAGACCCCGATCTCTGGCGATTGATGTTTCAGGTCGGCTGGGTGAAGGCGGACACGAAAGCGATCCAAGCGATACATGACCACGTGATCACGCACAATCCGAGAGTATCCGTGTCTCATAGTGACCATACTATGTGGAATCTTCATATTAAGTTCGTGCAAAAAGAGGACGCCGGTCTTTACATGTGCCAGATCAACACGGACCCGATGAAGAGTCAGGTATATGTATGATGATGTGTTTTTAAATTATTCAATAGATATTTATGCCACGGAGTTGATTTACTCACGATTTACGAACTATCGATGTACTGTGTGAATCAGTCGGTTCTTTCAAAAGTTTTTCCAACACGCACCGTGTGCTTCAATTACAAAGTTTTCGCCGTTCGTTCGAATCGGGAGCGACGTCCGTTTCGCGCCTTACTTACGCCCGTCGCCATTAATATCGGCCAGCGGGTAAATCTAACGAGGCGCACAAGTTTCGCGAGCGATCGCGAGAACGACGACACCGCGGCGGCTCGACGGTGGCGACGGAAGTATCGTTAGGAAGTTACTGAGAGAGAGACAGAGAGTGGGAGAATGCTTCTAATAGCATTTCGCCGCCGTTTTAGAAACGCGCTAAGCGGAAGGAACGCATGGAAGGAACGCATGGAATTTACTTAGGCGCAGAAACGGCAGTCTATTTGCCATTTCAAACAATTATGTCCCTCCCTTCGCGCATCCAATCGAAATAACATCAACTTCTTTAGTAGCTTTCCGAAAGAAATGAGAAACTCATGAAACGTACATTGTTCGTGATTATAAACGTAATCTGACTCACATATATGTTTTTTTATCTCGAAATAAAATAAATCTTTGCTTTTTCACAGATTAAAAAATATTTTACATCAGTTTTAATATTCACTGAAGATACATTTTCTGTTTAATACTGCTCTCGATGTTTTTCCTCGATAGTATAAGCTAGGATATATACATAATCTTTATTTGAAATTAATAGTGGCAAACCGACAAGCAACATACAATAACTAATTGGAACAACGTGTCAATTACGTATAATAAACGATAAAACAACATGTGGAAGACTTAGTCCAGTAATGATCGTACAATTTTGGCAAGGCAAATTCATCTCATATAATATAAATATTGTTGCATATTTTATATTGCATTTATAACGCACAGATCATATTCTATAAATTTGTTACAAGTATTTCACGGAGCTTAGAGATAAGCCTCATGTCACAGAGTGATTCTGTCTGTTATGATAAACGTATTAAGTTTTATCTATAGACAATTTTGATTATAGTTTTATTTTAATTCGAAACATAAAACAGCGTTTTTTGTCACATTTTTTATGCAGTTTTTTAATTTTTTAAATTAATTCTTATCAATTTATATTATTCGGATATTCTGAAACCTTGAACGTTTACTAGCTCGAATGAAAATACGAGAAATAGAGTTTTGTAATAAGAAAAGTTTACAATCTCCCCGACTATTATAAAATGTATAATATTTATAATCTCATTTTTAATATTAGACATAAAAAAGTACTTGAAAGATATTATTAGTTCATGCAACATATATATATGTAATAAACGAGATAAAAACTAATCAGCTTTTATTTTATTACAATGACATTGTGAAATAAGATAGTCTTTGCAGTGAGACTTACACGATATATTATATTACCAATAAAATTCGTAGTAAAAAAACTCCAATAATAGTATTCTCGTGCGTAAATAAGTATTCTACGCCATTCCGCCGCAATCAGCTTTAAGGAAACACGACCTCTCGTGCTATGGATTTAGCTCCGAAGAAACGACGGTTTTCCAATAGAGATTTAGCTTGTACGAGGGATGAGTGTGAAAACTATCTTTAGCGGATATTTATTATTCACGGCATACATATCGTGGCAAATCGATTGCGATAAGTTGCCGAACTGTAAGTGAAACAATTAATCGAGCGACTCCGCTGCCAATGATGTCCGCATCGATAAAGTGCCAAGATGTGCTCGAGTTAATCGATAGTTGCTCAATTACAATCGGACTGCGTCCCACTTGGCCCATGCAATTAATCATTCCGGAGTCTCAGTTTGCTCTAACTATCATTAACATAATCCACTGGTGTAATGTGCGTGATCGTATTCACATTAGAACACAGCAAAATAATATATCAAGAACTGTATCAAAAATTCTCACACACTACATTCTCTTGTATAAAATTTTCAATACAGATTTTTTTGTGGATATTTGCACGTCATAAATTACAGTACATTTAAATAATAAAATTTCTTGTAAAAATTTTGAAATTCCAAAGCCTGGAATTACATTTAATCATTAGCAAAAGGATATCAATTAGTTGGAAATTTCAAAACCACATAAATCCACCACAAACGCGAGTAACATTATAACTAACGACAAATGTAATCTCTGTTTAATACCATCATTAGTTTATTTGTATTTGTGATAAACATCACGTTCATTATCGTATTCATTACTGATAAAGCCTTGAAGCGGCGCGAACGAATGGGAGGGATAAATCGTCAATAGCAAGAGAGAGAGAGAAAGAGAGAGAGAGAGAGAGAGAGAGAAACATGAAGCCCTCGTTGTAGGCGGCAACAGTCGCTGCAAGCTCGTTTACACATCTCGATACTTTCCGCCGCCTGTAATCGTCGCCGGCGACGCGCGATAGCAAACCGCAGGGGTATTACCCACCCGCTGCAGTTGAGTATTAGCTGCTGCCTACATAACAATTTGTACAAGTATCGAAGGCATTTCGCGTACGCGCGGCTGGCAGACCCGCGGCATACTTAACGAGCTCGGGAACTTAACGAGCCGTCTTTGCCAGTTCGAAAACCCCGGCACTCCGGTTTATGAACACCCGTCCCAAGAAACGCTTAAATCCTCCTCGTTCTCTCTCTCTCTCTCTTTCGCTGATTTGCTTTGAGTTTACAGCTGCGTACAATCTTATCAGAAAAGGATTGAAATATTAAGTCACATTTAATGATTTTTTATACTATTACATACGTAACCGGTGTAGTAATTGTAAAGTCAATTAATTTGTTGCGTATGTGAATAAAAAGTAACTTGCGTGTTGACCCTGAATCACCGTTTATAAGAAGATATTCGCTCAAATCAAAGCAAGCAATTATGCGACAATTTCTTAAAACTCGTGCACTTTCCATTTTCCCTTGAAATGCATGACGCCGCATAGCTTGAAACGATAATTATTGCTGTCGCAAAGCGCGCAAAAATTTTGCTCCACACGAGGGGCGAGATTTTTCTCGCGGCGCGCACAAGACGCTTAACGAGCCACTTTAGTTAACGCGCGTGGGTTCTCGTTTCTTTCTGCTGTCTTTCAGGTGAGCGGAGTCGACCGCGCGATGTTGTCTGGTAGCCTTAAAGTAACACCAACGACCGTCTCTCTCTTCCCGGCAAAGTGATACCGCTATAAGTCTAGTCGAGATCTAATTTTCTGACGTTTCGGATTGAATTCGCGCGAGCCCCGCCATGCTGCCGAGCCGTACTTTTGCCTCCTCTCGCAAGGAAGAAAGCAGTAATCTTAAATAGTGCACTGAGCGTAACGCGCGCGACGGTTGTTGGCGAGACGACGGCAGGTGTCTCCTTCTCTCTTCTTCTTCCCTCTTGTCCTTCTTGTCGCTTTTGCTTTACGAGGTACTAAGCTAAATAATGAACACTCTGCGAGCAACTCCAATGAATGCCTCGGCCAATTCAGGAAATCCATAAAAAAGACGAATATAAAATGAAGATAAGCTTTCTAAGAGAAAAAACATGTACAAATAAAAACCTTATTTTTAACTTAAAACCTGTGGTCATAAAATTGCCTATTATGGTAATTTTAATGGAACATCGCATTTGTTTTACATCTTATCTCTTCTCCAATCGTATGTTTTATTTGTTTCGATTTTTGAATTATTATTTTAATGTATATATTCTTGTTTCTTTGCGCCTTGTTCTCATATATTTTACAAATGTTTCTTTTTATATATTGCTTTGCATTCCTTGTTTTACTCTCTAGGATATGTATGGTTCACTGCGAATGGAGTGCAAAACACAGATTCGGATTTTTCTCAGACAAATTCGATTGGAATTGAAATATAAATCTCTCGAATAATATATTCGAAAAGCAGAGATATCAATATGTGCATCATATAATTATAATATCAAAGCTACCTATTGTGTTATATATATATATATATATATTGTGTAAAGCGCTGCAAACACATCTGTAAAACAAGTAAAAATTTAATGTCGTCGCCGTTTTCCCTCACATTCAGTCTCAATATTCAAAGTAATAAATCCACCTTCTCGTAAACAAATCTTTCCTCTCGTAAACACGGCTTTTCCAGGTCGTTCCTTACACGTTTCTTCGTCGCTCTACGTGTATGTATCAGCAGTTAAAACACGACCGACACTCTCTGCAAAGAGGGTGCAGCCTCGCCTGTCGTAACTATATTTCCTCGCTTGTTGCCGAATATAGCGGCGCTCCCTGAGCATCGCTTGTAATTCCGACTGCGTGTCTGATAAAATTTACGCGTACGTATGTAAAGGCTTGCCGCGGCGTCGTCGGCTTTCTTGAAATTTCGCGTCACTACTTCACGGTTATCTGCATAATTTGCGCAACGCTACGCGCTGATTTAATCTAGCAATTGAATCGACTCTTGTCGACATTTTAGTTATACAGTCCTTGTAACATTTTACCACAAATATCTACGTATTTCTCTCGGCATGTTACATACATACGAAGAAAAGAGCGCAAATTTAATCGATTGGTGCAATTTCTCTCAGGTATATCATACAATTGTTCCGCGAGAAACTCTGCGCGCGTTATTATTTATCAATAATAGCCGCGTAGGTAGAGAATCTGACTAACGAGCGATAATGGGTCTCAACTAGAGCGTGTTGTTTGCAAGCGCGTGCATTTACTCTTTAATGATGACGAATTGGAATTATTCTGTAATATAACGTCGATAAATCTTCTTTCTTAGAAATAGTGTGCCGAGGTCTCTCGCGAAGCAAATTACGGTAAGAACTCACAATTCTTCGATGAGTTAAGGCTGCGATTATCGTTGGAAATGGTCAGTTGATCGACGAGATACGCATTCATTCACCGCGGCGAGCTGATACAGTCATTCGCAGAAGCGTAATAATTAATTTACGACGCGCGAGTGTGCAGACAGAGAGTTTCATAATTCAGTGGCGACACGTACGAGTTTACGCGCTCGGGCACGTGTCTCGCGCCGCGCTCGTCATCATCGCTCGTGGTAGGGTAGGTAGATAGGTAGGTACGCAGTTTGCATTCGTCGAGGCTGTTCTTGAGCGGCACAGCAGCGGCTTGCTAGACAACTCGGTTATAACGATTGAAGTTTCGTCGTGGCGTGGATTACACCCTCGTAATTGCGCGCACACCTCGCATCTCCGCGCGTCTTACGAGGACGCGAGAGCGACGACGTCGTTGTCGTAAAGGGGCTTCTCCTTTAAATCGCGGGTGAAACGAGGAGAATCGTAGGGAGGGAAGAAGAAACACACGTGAGGGAGGATACGAGATAGAGAAGAGCAAACGAGACGGAGATCCCTGCATTCGCGTACTGACGACGCGTCTCGTGGCTTGACGTACGACCGCAAAAGTTCCCCGACACAGACGTTCGAGGTTGATCCTCTTCCGCGATTCCGCCGCTGTCTTCTCGAGCGAGAATTATAACGTGATAGCGCCTTCGTGCGCGCACTGATAAGCGTCGCGTGCGTATAGTTACTGCGAAGCGCTTTGTTTCGTTGGCGGATTATTTTACACCTTGCAGGAAAACGCGCTGCAAATCGAGTATTTCGATGGTATCGGGCGTTGGCGCTGAACGTGGGAGTGTGTGTTTATATATAATTTACATTCCGGCATTCTAAAATGAAGAGCTACACCCTTGCATTCATCAGAATTATAAATAAATTCTGTTGCTTCGCTGTATAATTCGGGAATTTATTGCGTTATATAATATTTGAAGTTATTATCAGAAGCAAAGTGTTTAATTCTTCTTTATTATTACATGTCAAAAATATTTTCATATTAATAATAGCGAGTATAAATTATGTATGCTGATCAATATTCAATTAAAATTTATAACGTAATTTTGAAGCGTAAAAATTCTCTTTTTATACTTACCTGCGCAAATTATTACGTTGGCGAAACGCACATATGTGAATTATATATTGACAATTTTCGATTACGTAACTCACGTGTACGATTGTTAAACGTCGCAGGGAATAATAATGATCGTGCTTACTGTTAGTTATGATGTTTGACGCTACTGTGCGCCGTTAATTAACGAATAACCTACGACACACACCGGCATCCACGCTGGCAATGCCAGCGCTGCGTTGCACAGCCATAATATGTTACCAGCGCCCGAGCTAAAGTATATAGAACAAGCACTCGAGATTTAGGGACGCTCGTGTTATCCACCTGTCTTATGGCTGCACTTTGTAGTCCACTAATTTATGAAGAAGAAGAAGACCATATGTGTAAAACGACGAATTAATTTTTGCTGTGTCGTTTATTACATCACATTTAACGGAAGTCGGTAGCATTATCACATTTTCCTCCAGTTACTCAAAACTAAGCGAACTATATATGGTCTACGCTTGTTTTCATTAGTTTCACATTTTTATTTATATCTGCCTGCCGCGAATATACCGGGCCATTTCAAACGCTATCTCTACGGACGCTCCGTGCGCTGTGACGAGGGAAATAAAGCGAGCTGTATGTCATCGTTCTGATTCGCTTGTTGTTATCAACGCTGCACGTCGGACGCGCCACATGCGCGATGTCGTATTATATTAATGGAAAAAAATATCCTCTCCGTGCGTCGTGTATTACGATTTTTTGTGCGAGGCGGAGACATAATTGAAGTTAGAAACATAATTAGAACCATGGCTGCCTCGTATATGTTGCATTCTTCTTCGAGTCATCATTGCATTAATTATGTGTTAATTAACATTCGTAAAGCCAATTGTGAAAAACTTAACTTTGAATGAAGCCAAGCCACGTAAAGCAACGTTTGCGTTTAAATGATTGCGCTGTATTTAAAGTAGACGTATTTTATTACAAAATCAAAATAAACTTGTTAGAGAAAAATGTAAACTATAAAATAAAGATTGTTAACAAAACAAAATGTGCGTAAAGTCCCGCTGATATTTTCGCGTTTTAAGTTTGCTGCTAACCCTAAGTCATCTTTTTCCTTCAGACAGGTATGCTGTCAATTGTTGAACCACCTGATTTCGACCCTGAGGCTACATCGGGCGACGTAATGGTGGGCGAGGGCAGTCAGGTAAATATCTTCCTTCATTCTCTAGGTTTTTTATTACAATTTTGTTACATTATTATTATTGTATAATTTAGAAAGTAGATTTAATTTAGATCAGATATTGCATTTTACAGATAGTTAACTTTCGATTTAATCGAAGAATTTGCTTGTTCTGGCGGGAATAAATTCGCGAATAAATATGCCAGGAAGAAAGATGCTCCACAGCGCGCGACTAGACCGAAGGTCGTTAAATAATTTACTCCGCGCAGAAGCTGTCATGAATAAACGAAGGTTTATTACTTACAAATGTAGGCTGATTTACGTGTGTAGTAAATTATCAGGCCAACGTTATTCCGCGTGATTCATGCTGGAGAAATCTATATTGGAGAACGCGGTGTATTGCAATACACCACGAGTGCAATGCACTATTCGGAACGGCCGAGCTCACAAATAACTTGCAACTTTGCCTATTTGTCGTCATTAACGTCTTAACCACGAGATTGGTATTACCGCCAAGATACTTAAATCAAATTAAATATACATTATCTGTAAATAGATTTTATTCTTTTTTTCACTGTGAATAACCATAATAAACCAAAAACAATTTTGCTGTACATTTTATTATAATTTCATAATAAACGATTCCGCGCGACTACAGTATGCAACACCTGTTGCCCCCCAAGAGATGCTTCACCATTACATTGTCATGAAGCCAACTTGTAATTTTTATTAAACCTGTACGTTTATTATTAACAACTTAAATTTGAATTATTATTGTCGCGCTCATTATTACGAAAAGTAAAAGAAGGCGCTGCCTTTTTCATTGATTATGTATTATTCTTAAAAAAAATATAACACTGCGTGTCACATGTACTCGCAATTAGATGTTCATTAAGTAAAAGTTGCAATTAATTTGTTTACTTCAATGATTCGGAAAATAATTACGAAAATGCGATAGCGACATACGCACGTTACAAGCGGTGCTTGGACTGGATGCTGTAAGTAAGCCATCAGTGAAAATAAGTGACCTGTTGCTCACAATTCATATTCCGTGGCAGCCGTGCAATTTGCGCGAATACCTCATCTCATCCTCGCGTTTTTCCGCGCGCATGGCCGACGGTGTCGCTCGAGTAAAGAATATTGCGCTTCTCTCAGAATGTCTGACAGGACGCTTTTACGAAGAGGCGACAGCTCTGCACGCGGAGCCACCAACCCGTGGGCCATTTTAAACTTTGAAATTATACCGGGCACATCGCGCGAGTCCTCCCATTATAAGCTGCCGCGGTTGGCATACTGAAAATTGTACTGCTGTCAGCTCGTATAAGGCACTTTCCATTTCTTTTGACAAGATTGCCGGGACATGCGTCTAAGTATCGCGCTTTTGTTATTGTAATGAAATCGTACATCGTGGTTTTCTAGTGTGTGTGATATGTATCTGCTCTTCATTTGAACAACTTTAATCAATACAATACGCAATATCCAGCAACAATGGAGATGTTATACGGGCGATAGTTTCGAAACACGGCTGTTAGTCCTTTGCGCTATTGTTCAAAAAATGCTGGAATTTTCGTTTCACAAAATAAATGCTATAGGTAAAGTTGATAAAAAATTGAAATTTTAATCGACATTCGGAGGTTTGTGAATTCGTTTCCTGACAGAAACTAACTGAATCTATCAAGATAAATAAGTAATTTCGACGAACCATAACAGTTGTGTGTTGTTATTAACGTTGCGCGCCTCCTGTGTGTTGCTCGAATTCTCTCGTGAAAATTTCAAAACCTGAAAACTCCAAACTTGCAGATTTTTTATGGAACTCCACGTTGCGCAAAGCGATGTTTTTAATCTGCTACTTGAATAAATTTCAATAAATATCAATATATATATAATATGGAATGATAGCGATATCACGTTTAAAATATCTGTTTTCAATCTCGATTCAAAGTTGATAAGATTCTTTGAATCTGGCGGAAGACAAGATTCTCTTTTTGCAAATTTACTCAAATTCTTCCGAAACGATATTTTCCAAAGAATGTTTAATATTGCGTGTAGGAATTGTGTACATTCCTTCTGAATTACAATGGTGCAATAACTTCCGTTACATTTCATAACGTGATGTTCCCATGTATATAAACGTCAGATATTGCAAGCGTGTCAGTAGAGCGTGATCCAACAGACAGTACAGTATTCTGCGACACGTGTCGTGTCGTTAATTGTCAACCTGCCGCTTATATTTTCCATTGTGGAGACACACAGATATTCATTTCGCGGCACGTGTTTCGCAATTCGTCGAGAGAAATGAATTCGTCGTGTGATCTCTCGTTCGTTTTGAATATATCCATAATTCTGTAACTGATGAGAACTAGACCGATATTCATAATTGATGGATTTGAACGCGGAAACACGCTATTGACACATTTTTGGAGACCGCCGAACGACGCAACCGACGTCCAGCTTTGTCCAAAAATAGTTCAGGATCGCTCGATTATTGAAGCTGTCCAAAAGCGAAAACCATCGTTAAATCGAACATCCGTTAACGAGAATTCGAGGAAGTATGATAAAAATTGACCGCGCTAGTGCAACAGAATACAAGTAACCTTCTCTCTCCTCTGCCTCTTCTCTCCGTTAAAAATCCCTCGGCACATCGCGGCGTCGGGACTGGATATTTCATGCCTTTCGCGACCATAGATTCGTTTTCCGCTCGAGTATCCGTGCCATGCCGCCATTGTTCCGGACAAGCGTCCTCGCGCGTACGTGTTTTACATAGCGACAGAGGCCGTGCGCGCGCGTCTCGCTCTCCTTTATTCCACCAAATATATTTGGATGAAGCACGGCATTAGTGGAGTGCAATAACGAACTCGCTTCTCTTTATAATTCCGGTTTCATAACACGTACAGGTGAAGTTAACGTGCCGGGCGAGAGGCGTACCCCCGCCGCGCGTATCTTGGCGCCGAGAAGACGGCAAGAACATTATAATTCGGGAGCCATTTGCAGGAAGCACCCAGAACCAGAAGTCTCAGGGTAAGATTTAATATAGATGACACGCCCGCGCGCCGCACAGTCGTTTTGCCGATATATAGAACGCCAAATGTACAATTATGTTTTCCGTAAGAGGCGCGCGCAGAACGCGCGATCTCGTTGGTATTCAAATTTCCTCATTACGAATCGCGCTTCCGGACTTTAAGACAAATTTTAGCCGGAAACCGATTCAGAGAGTTGATGCTCCGGGATGATGATGCCTTCGACCGCGGATTCGGTTGAATGGACGGCTGTCGTCGTTCCGCCGACTCTGTTAAGTGTTAATATTCAAAATTTCATCACGTCTAATATCAGACCAATTACCTGCAACGCGCGAGTCTGATTTCATCGAGAATTTTTCATGTAATTTATATGCTCGTATTAAGAAAAAAATCGATGCTTTCATCTTCGACTTCCCGAAATATAATACAATTCTTGTATATTCCGTAACGGAAACGATAGCAGTCGTAAAATGGGCGGATACAACGAGAAGCGAACCGCCTTGCCCTCGTAGCGCCGGTTCCGGCTAAACGACGTATTTAGTATTCACTTCAGCGTGGTGTTACTAATAGCAGGCAAATTTCGCTGTACTGTCGCGGTCCGTGGCAAGGATACGCACGCCACGCTGCAGCACATGCCAAGCGCGATCCCTGCAAGCAATCCGACTCGGCGGCTTATTGTCGGTACTACAATCGCAGTGATTATCGGAGTCATGCTTAGAAAAAGTTTGCATTAGTCTCACGATCACAATAATTTAATTAGCACGTTGTGCAAACATCTGTATTTGTACGTTAGGATAGAAAACTAAGCGAGTGAAAAATGAAAGAAAATAAATAAAAACACAAAATTGTCAGATTTAAACGTGGAACGTGGTTCTCCAAAACTATATTTCTCTTTGCAAATGTATGATTTTAATTTGTATTTGAATGCTTTATTTATATTTCCGGCGATACAATATTCTTTTCGGAAAAAATTAGTAATCCGCGAGCAAAGAGAACAATGAAAGAATTACTTTTAAAAGACATCGGCGTTCACTGAATGAAGAACGAGTCGCGTGTTGTTCGCGGGAATTCATGGTGCTTCAGTTAAGTTTCCAACGCAACGAAAGACGCAAGCAAAACACAGAGAGACACTTACGTTGGTTCTGTGTAATTAATTCGCGAGATGGAAAACACGGGCACGTCTCAAGATCTTTGGGAAAATCAATGTTTTTGTGAGCTAAACTACGACGTAACGTAACAAGGCCGCAGGTGAAGATGGTTCCGTGCGTTTGCTTGCGATATTTCGCGGTAAGGAACAGCTACAGGTGCAACAAATTGCCCGCGCTCATCTTATCCATGTACGCCACTTTGTTGTTTGTATTTGAATATATTCAAGAGTGTATTCAGAAATGAGTGATATGATGTATCTCTTTTTCAACTCTAATTTTTTTAGAACTGTTTTTAACAATAATTCACACAAATCTGAGCGTGTCAGTTTATATTTAACACATTTTTCAGTATTCTTTTACAATCACAAAATGTATGAATAAATTGTGTGATTAAGAATTTGTATTAAAAATATGGAACGCAAAATGTAACATGTAAAAATGCAACATGCGTAACACGCTTCGTAATAAAATATTGGGAAAGCATAATTAGCGTGAATATAATATTATTAAAGGCGCGTTTGTCGTTTTATTGATTATCGACTGTCGCTTTTGTATCGGGTTATTCACTTTACGTTCTTTTCCTGTTCATCTATATTAATGGTTGTTGTGCATTACATAATAATAACCGGAGATACAATAAGTTGTCAACTAGAGTATATCTATATTTTTTCTATAATATAAAAAATATCTCTCTTAATTAGTATAATTTTCAGAAAATATCTTTATACTAGAAAAATTGAACGCGCTTACATTGACTATTAATTTTTCCTGATTATTAGGTTATTTGTTAAACTGAAATATTACGAGTTAATATACGCATATGTGTATTAACATTCTGTCCTGTAAATATAAATTTTTATATGCTAAATAGCTAGATTCTAGGTATGTCCTAATATGTTAAATATCGTTGATTTTAATGCTCTCATTGTTCTTATAATCGCGCAGTAACTTCCGTGTCTGAGGTTTCCGGCGAAGAATTGAAACTGACGAAAATCTCGAGGACCGACATGGGAGTTTATCTGTGCATCGCCAGCAACGGGATTCCGCCCGCGGTCAGCAAACGTATTTCCATCAATGTTCATTGTGAGTAATAGTGATTACCGTTCGAACCGATATCGAACGGATATTGTGTACTTCGATTCCTCTGTTCCGCACGTAGAAATTCACAACTATATCTTCGGATTTTGCTTTACAGTCCCGCCGGTGATTCACGTACCCAATCAGCTGGTCGGGGCGCCCTTGGGGACCGACGTAGTACTCGAATGTTTCGTTGAGGCGTCTCCGAAATCGATTAACTACTGGGTCAAGGACCCTACGGGTATGCAATATTTGGTTATTCAAGAAAATACTTTTGATACGCTCTCTAAGTATCGAATAATGCAAACCTGTAATATTTATAAATTAGATAATAAAACTTACAATAAGTTGTAATTTCATACAATTTTTTTTCAAACAATTGTTTTTTAATTTTTGCTCTTGATCTAGTTGATAAAAGAGTTGAAATGTTATAATATATGTAATGTTATAATATATGTAATGCTAATATATGTGTATATATATTCTCAGATATTTCTGTGTGTAGCAAATTGTATTAACAATTAATTCCTTGTTTTTTTTTCTATCAACACATTAATTTTATTATCTACTGGTAAAGTTAATACAAGACATTTTTGTACTGTTTACATTTCATCGCAAAATGAATCACAAGTAAAATTATCATACATTCACACAGCTATGTTTGAGCAAAATAGTTGCAGTTTTAGCTGGCACACTGTTCGCCACAAGTACAGTGCGTTGCAGCGATTGGTTTGTTAACTAATTACCGACTGTAACTAGCGGAGAAATGTTCAAACGTTAATTACTCTGGCAAGACAAATCCGATTATGGACCGTACTTTAGTTTAGGCGATTCCGATACCAAGCGTGTCGTTGTATTCTCGTGTCGTCAGCTTCGAGAAACTTACTCATATAATTGGAAACATGTTCTAAGCTTGTATGAATAAGCAACAATGCAAAGAGATTCGTTATACCTGTATCTCTTTGTACAAACACTGGCATATCGAAGCGTACGTAACTTTTCTTTAAAAATACATACGAAAAACTATTTCTAGCGTAAACTAAATAAACAAAAGATACAATTATTTTAATATATTGTGAACGATGCGATGTTTCAACCAGCGACATATCTTAACAACGTGTAATAACTTCAGTTCGCGAAATATCTTTCTGAAGAAAACTTTATGGAATAGATATAAGAGAGAATACTACTTATCCAGACTCGCGGAAATATTCCCGCGGTGAATTTTGCCTCGCAGAAGAGCCAGACGTCCTCTCAGTTTAACACACGCTCAGCCGAAGAGAGTTCCCCGCCCCAATGCACTCGTATGCAATTTCATCTCGCGTGGAAGATACCTTTCACTTGTTTCCCATTATACGCAACTGTTTCAACGTGTAATAAGAAAGCGTAGCAGGAAACGGCGAGACGTCTTACTTATGTCAAGAGTTATAACTTCTTGCCTTCAGCTATTTAAGTATTTACTGCGCGCGACAAATGAAAATATCTCAGATTTCGACTGAAATGATTCAAGAAACGCATATTTATCGATCTGCTAAAAATATTCGTGACACACAACTTTAGATTCTAATTATTCTATTTTAATGCTATTGTTAGAACAATTAAACGATTGGAATTTGAAGCAAGGATCTGAATTCGAACACTGTTTGCATAATTCTGTTATATTTAGAAAAACAAAATCTGTCTCTATATATAATTTCAATCTCTTTACTTTGGCGCGTGAAACATTAACTCTCTAAATTGTTTTATGTAAAACTGTAATAAATGTTTTTTTTTTCTTTCTATATCGTTATCGCACTGCAATTTATAAAAATGTTGGGCGCAAACTCGAGAAAAAAATAACGACGAGAAGTAACGTTTCTTTTCTCCACCGGAATCAAAATAATCAACCATGATCTTTACTTTGTCTTTCTGAAGGTGCGATGATACTATCCAGCGTCACGTACGACGTACAGACACAGAACAAGTCGCCGTTCGAAGTCCGGATGACTCTCACCATCCGGAATCTGCAGAAACACGACGTGGGAACGTACCGGTGCGCGGCCAAAAATTCCCTCGGCGAGGTCGAGAGCAGTATTCGATTATACGGTGAGTACACAGTGCGTTTTTGACCGTTATCAAACGAAGTTTTCCCGGGAAGCCCATAAAGAATACTTAATTCGATTACTCGACGAAACGCAGCCAAAACGGGGAGAGAATTGTGTTATCCACGTTGCATTTCGTTTCAATGCACGTGTACATTTGCGGATAATCCCGATTTTTCAGACTTACTCTCTACTCTCTTTTTCTTTTGAGTGGTCCCTCTCGTAACACTAGGGATTAAGATTCGTACCGTGAAATAAAACTTGCGAATAGATTTGCAGATAATTACACAGAAGAGATCGACGGTTTGCATTGCACATCGTAAATGAATTATAGTGCCGAGATTAATTTTTTGCATGACCGCGGTCTACAATATTATTATTTTTAAAACAATAGCGCTTCTCTTTATCTTCAACGCGAGATTTATTGATGTGCTTTTATTCGAAAAAGCCAAAGACTGTATGTCATAAAAAAAATATGTTCCATAAAGAAAATATGCTTTTAGAGCACATCAATGGGCGTCAATACGCAGCCGCGAACAAAACGATCCTAAATGCATTCGGATGACACAAAGCCCTCGACTTCTCGCGATAAACGACTTACCACGCGTGGAAACCACGGCTTTTTATCGCGCGTCGTTACACATCGTATCTTGCAAACTGTCAGCACGGGATAAGAAGTAAACTTTGCTCTCGCGTGCGACCTATTATTCCTGCTTATTGTTACTGCTACGAGGTTAACGAGTTGTCGATACTGACACATCTCAGCATTCAAACTGTTCACTTTAATTTGCTACGTATAAATCTACGCGTTTCTTTTGCTCTGCGACTAAAAAGTGGCACTATAAAAATATAAGGTTTCCTCTTTCTACGCACACAACAAACACGCTTCGCGTTTTACAAGCATCGTCACTTTGCGGACAAAACCTCGGAGAATCTATCTCTATATCAGAGACAGACGCCTTTCGGTCAATCCTCATCGTTTCGCGCAACGTCGGATTTCTCGGCTGGCTCGCAGCTCTCCCAAGGTGCAAGGAAGTCGGAAAGGGTGAGAAGATAAGGTATGAGGTGAGCGCAGTACATCTCCGTTTCGCGCATTCGTAAATCGTCGCGTGTTATCGACCCATCGATTTCGAGAGGGCGATGTCTCCATCCGGTGCGGTGGACGTAAGAGCGACATATTTGCGTACACGAATTTAAAGGTGATGACGATACAAAAAATGGCTTCACCTTTATTCACATCTCTAGATGCTAACAGAATTCTCTTGTAAACACGAGAATTTAAAATTCGCTAAAATATATAGTCTTATCGATCTTTTCACCGAGAGACAATTTTCTGGAGACTCATCAGGAAAATACTCTTCTATAAAGTTTAATAGAAACTTTCCGAACCACACTGTATATGTACGGTGTACACGCACATGTCCATCCCCGATATTAAATTCTCTACTTGAGAACAACATACATGTGTGTGTGTGTATGTGTAAAGTTTTCTTATCTTTATCTCCGTGCGTCCTTTACTGCTAAAGGCCTGACCTCTTTTCCTTTATTCAGGGATCGAACTCCCAATGGAGAAAGTTTGTAGCGTCAGAATTTTTGGATAGGTGCCAATAAATTTGCAACGTTATTTTCGGAAACAATGCAAGAGTAAAATGTTTAGTAACATTTTTCTAATGGGATTGTTTCTGCTCTTGATCAAAACCGTGCTTTTTTTCTCGCTGTTCCAGAGATATCTGGCTCGGAGAAGATGCAGACGAAGACTTCGGCGCCGTTCTACGACGAGGAAGACGAGACGGTGTACGGCTCGGCGGAGTACGACAAAACGGAAAACAAGTCGCCGACAGTGGACAACACGGTTCACGGCCACATGGGTTATCCGCTCGTCACGCCGTTCTCCACGATCGGCAAGAAACGACCTTCGGTCAACGTTGTCAGTTCGGCCGGTGATCCTTATCCACAGGTTCTATCCATCGTTCTGTCATCGCTAGTGCCAGTGATCTCTGTTTGCCGAAGATGGTGGTGGTGGTGATGGTGAGAAACGGAAGAGATTCAAAAAATTCTAAAAAAAAAGAAAAACTGAGTCGAAACACTCATTGTTATCGCATGTCATTCGTCATCACGCAATTTTGGCAACGGCATAAATTTAATTCTTTCAATGTTTTATATGCAATTGCTAATCGCGTGCAATGATCAAAGATTCAAATTAATTTCTATTAAATTTAAGATAGTTTTTTTTAATGCTACAGTTTTTTCTTAATGCTATTCTTTGGGCGTGAACTTTTTCAATTTGAACTGATTAGCGAGAAAGTATCGCACAAAACGTATTGTGCGACACTTTACAAATTTTATGTCTGCACTCAGCAAGAAGAAACGCCCGGAAATCTTCATTTACTATTCAGTACCTTACTCGATTCTACGTGGCAAAAAACAACTTTGAATGAGCTTAAGTCGCCGCCGTTGACGACGACGTATCGTCTTCCCTGAGTGGCTTATTTGTAATTCGTAGACCTAATCAATGGATTGCAAGCTCGCGGAAGAGATAAACCAGAGATTGAAGATCGCGCGGGGCGTATCTTGATTGTTGCTTGATAGTCGGACCAAGAGATCAACCGGTGAGTGACTAAGTTAATTAAATTTGAGAATTAAATCCAGTGTACTTTAAGTTTGTTTTATTTCTGTTACGGTTAACGTTGCTTTGTCAAATTAAATATTTGATTAAGATACGCCCTGTAAATAAGTGTCCAAAAATAATTAATTAATAGTATATAACAAAAAAACATTGATGGACGCAAATAGTAGAAAAAATGACAACGAAGCGGTAGAGGCCGAAGAGCAGATATAAATGAATAGAACAACAAGGGAGAAAAGATATGTATATATATATATCTTGCGATGATAGTCGCGCGGATCAGAGAGCCGAAGATTCGTAACCTCGCATTTTCGGCGGCAATAAATCTGCGTGATGTGTATATATGTACGTGTATTATATACGGGCACGCTCGCACGCGTATATATGTGCATACTAACACGTCAGGGTAACTAATACGTTCGTGCCACCTTCCTCCTCATCCTTCCGCTGCGCTCCCCTTTAAATCGCGTGCGAGCGGCGTAGCATTCCGTAGATAGATAGCTCCCGTGATCACGCCGATGTAATAGAATATGTATGTCGCGATTTAAAGAGCATCGAAAGCTTTAAACGAGTTTGGCTCGGAAGTAGCCAAGACGCCGTATTGCGTCCGCCTCGATGTGGACACTCCTGATTTCGGACCAATCGATTGCGGACGAGCGGTTCGAAGTTGTTCGCCACTTCCGCTACGATCACAGAGATGTGCGATCGGGTTTGTATTTTCTTTGATGAAGATGTGTGCTTTCCTTTTTCTTTGCAGATTATATTGTTCACTCGAGAATCTTTTTAAGGCACTCCCAGCAATAGCTCTCCAGACAATAATTCCGCAGTCAACATTAAGTAAGATTTTTGAAGAACATTTATTTCCTACTTTCCGAATGCGATTCTCGATATCAAAACACCCCGATAACAGTGAAGAGTTGTTTTCAATGATTGTTCACTTGAGAGTTTTGCTTTTGAGTATTCGATATTAAAAGTTTTTGGTTAAAATACAATCAAACGATATTCACGGAATAGTTACTCGAGAACTTCATTCTTTTGCAGCAACTATCAATCATATGGCTCTTGATTTAAGCTTAACTTAAAAACAAATCTCTTCTTTCTTGGAAGATATTCTTTTTTTTAGAACAAAAGATTAAACAGATAATATATAGGTAATGAAAACTTATTTATAAAAATTTACGTTTAAATAAACATCGTCATGCAAATTTATAAGAGCAATTCAATCAAAACGCACTGAACATCAATAAAAAATTTTAAATAGCGCAATTGTTTTGCAATTAAGTACCGATGTTTGATCGTGTTCGGTGTGAGCGAAACAACTAAATAAATGTTCGATATACTACGGCGGCGATTCTCTTTTTAACGCGAGTGCTTCAAGTAAACGTGCATATGTGAGAGAAAGAATGTGTGTATAAGTGATAGAGAAAGAGAGAGAGAAAGAGAGACAGACAAGATACTAATTATATTTTTATATTTGAATAATAACAATGCTTACGTTTCGTATCGATAGACTTTTTAATTACGTCGGAGTTTCATCCAGTCCTTTTACTTTTTGACGTTCGGTTTTCACAGAAGTATTTCTAATTAGACCTATACAACAACGAACGTTGTAACATAATGGCGTGTTAAAGTTAATTCCAGCTTTGTTTGTGAATTTCCGTCCCGTCATTCTCGGGCGCAGATCCACAAAGTACAGCTGGCACGGTCGTGGAAAGATAATAAAATCGATTGCATAGATTGCCACGCACCGCTCACTACGACAATATCGTATTCACTTGCTAAATAAATCGAGCACGAACCACTCGGTTTTGGAGTTTTATGGCGACTGAAATTGCGTCTCGTTACGCTTCGCGGTTCGTTTTCGGAACTCACCGACAGCTCTCTCGCGCAGGAGGTACCCAATCGTACGTGCCCAATCTCCGGTCAAATCTATTTTTATTCTTGCGTCTCTCGATCGATTTGTTCTTCGCGATAGCTCTAGTCGCATTTAATAACTCTTAAATACCGATTGTTTTTTTGTTGTCATGCGAAACACGAAGGGAAAGTTAATCCTTTCACTATCCTATCGAATTTCAAAGTGAACTATAACAAAGCCGTAGATCTATGCCGTAGATCGTACACATAGTTTCGAAATAACGATGGCGATGGAAAAAAATCCGTTTCAATGACGAGATGGATACAATGTTTAAGCTAGCATCGTTTTAAATTATATAACAAAATAAATACAAATTTAATTAAGAGAATTTCCAAAACTGTTATATATATATATTTTTTATTTTTTATCGTTAGGTTCACGAGATTTCGCTGAATTATCACATCTGATAAACTTGTCGCTTGCAACGAGCTCTTCAATTAACCAATGGCTCTTTGCGCTTTCGATATAATATGCGAACGTGCCACATTCGTCACTACAGCTCACGTCGAAATGGGCAGTCACAAAAAAATGCCGCTTGCGCGAAGCGTACCTCAAGCGTCCTCACGAGAGTCAATGAATGGTCGCTCTCCCTCTCTTTCATAGTAACCAAAAAAAAAGAGGCGAGAGAAAAAATTGCGAGTTTTTCCCTTGCCAACCCAAATCGCGCTCGTTTGCGACACGTCGACTCAGTCCGCGCCGAGCGTGTTCCCTCTTATTTCGCCGAAGGGAATCCTCATTCCGGAACGATTATCGTCTCTCTTTCTATGACACGACGGTGAGGAACGAAGGAGAGGCGGATCCGTCTCTCTCGGTCACCGTGAGAAATTATAAGGGCGAATCCGCCTTTAAGGACTGGAAGAAGATCTTAGTTCCTCCATAAATAAACACAACTGCCCGCGCAGCTGGTGCGGACGTAATTCATCGTGAATTAATTTAAGGGCCACCGCCGCGTTTCCATCCCTCCGTTCTCTTGCCACCACTTCCGCCGCCATCGCTTTCATTAAAAGGCCCGCCGCCGTGCCGCGCCATTTGGCGGCTCTCTCGCTTTATGCTGATTTTATTTCCCTTCTTTCGCGAACTCGGGCAGCATCCACCGGGTAATTGTGCGGTATTATTATCCGCCGTGGCTCTCAGTGTCCGTGAACGACCGCGTGAGATACGACCCATCGAACCAAGCGGGAGTTGCCGAAGTGAGGAGAAGATTTCACGGTTCGCTGGAGGTGCTGCACATCTCTTCTGTCGTCCTCGCTTCCATTTCTATTCTCGTCGTCGTAGTCGTCGTCGTTGTCGTTGTCGTTGTCGTCGTCGCCGTCGCTGTCGCCGTCATCGTTGTCGCGATGCCCTACGACGCCGACGACTCCTTCGTACGACTTCCAAACGGGCTTACCAGTCCGTTTGAACTACGGCGTGAAGTCGTCTCTGTAAAGTTACAGCTACAGTTGCACAGAGCGTACCTCTTTGCACCGGCCGTCTCTCCGTATGGCCGCTCGTAGATTTTGGCCCCCCTCGGCCGTTTGCTTAATCCTCGCCGGTTACGCTTATTAAAGTTCCGAGAGGTACGACGTGTAAGCCCGTCGTCGGGGTGCGGTATATATGTACAGAGAACGCGGAACGCGGATAGTTACGTACGCGCGCTGACTTGCACGGCGGTTGGTTTATCGCGTCCCTCGCAGTCCGTTCGTTTCATTGTTTCGAGACGTAAAGTATAGTTTCACAAGTGCATGTTGCGCGTTGCAACGAAAACACGACATATTACAACATCGGTTGTTCTCCGAATTTTAGCTGTTTGTGAATTACTAGATGTATTATATGTTTTAAATAACAGTTTTATTTTTTATTAATGTGTCTTGCACAATATATCCTCTGTTAATATATCTTCTTTTGATTCAATGCCTCGAACATTGATATATTGAAGCGTTTTAATTGCCGGGTAATTTTCAGATTTCTCTGTGACACGATCGAATAGTTTCGAGAAGTTTGTTTTGAATGAATCTTAAGTAGGTCGATTAAAGTCTGGTGTAAAGTTTCGAGAACCTTCCTAGAAGAAGAAGAATTAACAACTTTCTCTTTTTTCTGTGTGAATTATTGTCTTTTTGAATTGTTCTTTTTTTTAGCATTTACACGGGGAGAGACAATTTGATGCTATTTTAATTTCCTAATATAAATTTTATTTTCTTTTTTTGCTTTAATCATGGATTGATATTTCCATAAATTATTTTTGCACAGCAGTCGATACGCTATATATGTGATTTCTGGACTATATTTTTTGTTTTGTTAGTACATCGGCGCTTATCTTTTTCATGCTTTTTTTATTTGGTGTTTTGCAACATATCTTGCTGTTGGAGCTGTTAGTTTCTTTGCGTTTATCAAGTCGTAAATTATATCACATCTTTCTTATTAAACAAAAATACTGTTGTGAAAAAGTCTTGAACACTTGTTTCAGAACTTCGTAGGTTTTAGCCGTGACGGACACGTTGCGAGGATATTTGCTTCCTTCATATTCCTAAATGCGCCGAATAATTCGATTCCGCGCTTATTTTCTGAATTTTATCTTTGAGTTTTGGTGACGGGGTCAATATCAGAATATAGTTTCTCAGAAACCGAAATGTATTATGGATGTCGCCCGGGGAAAACATTCCCGCGTGTGAGAGCCACCAATGAATTTTCCACGTAACGGGATATCTACGGTCGCCCTCGAGTAGCCCTCGAAATCCCAAAGACACGTATCTCTCGTCGTACAAGTTACCACTGACGGTTATTTGGCAGCTGTACGTCACTGTCGTCGTTCGGTGCGACTCCTCATTTCTCCTCTCGCGCTTCCGGTTACCTTTCCAGACTGCCACATCAGACAATACAGGAAAAACGAAACTTTCAAATAAAAGCGAAATACTATTAGCAGTATGCATGATGCGCGCACAAAAAAAATGATACTTTACTCTTTTTAAGAAATATATACATATATATAAATATAACTCTCACTCCATATTCTTCTCTTTTCCGGCGCCGCTAAGCTTTAGGAGATTCGCTCTATAAACAGAGGAGCCTGTGTACTATGTACCTTTGTAAGATAATAAAAAACCAAGTTGATAAAATGTGGAAGATGTTCCTTGATTCGGCTCATAATATGAGGTGTTTCAAGAACTAGGTCTTGACAAGAGACCTAGCGATGCAAAAATACGCTCTGAGAATCTTCCAGTTAACGTGCGCTTATGCGCTTCTTGATGAGTGTTCATGAGGCTAAAATAAATTGCAGTGTCGTTGTTCACGAGTGCGAAATCGATTTAACTTGTACATTAAAAAAACATAGTTGCTGCATTGTATGTTGAATAGAACAATTGGTCCACGTGCTAAAAACCCACAGCATATCGTGCAAGTATTATCTTGCAAGTGAGATATACTACTGGTACGAACGAACGTTTGGATGTTGACAATGTGTATCAGTGCGTAAAAGCTATCTTCCTGTATAAACAGAATTTTCGCGAAGTTGTAGCGTTTCGATATGATTCCAGTATTTTTTTTTGCCTGGTGCGCGGTGTGTATAGAACTCGCATAATTTTATATAACTATACGTATGCGATCGATCGTTCTCCAGCGAGAGCGAAAGGTTAATTAAAGCGTCGGCGACAAGTGACGCAGATTGTATAAATATAGTCGTGTAAGAAAGTAGCGGCGAAGTAATTCTGTAAATAATTGTGAACATATTGTAACCAAAAAATATCACGGCGAAATAAAGACAAAGCTTCGTGTTGCATATGAAGCTATATCAATAAATCCTTATGTGTACGTTATTCTGTTATTTTTTTTTATGATACACAATATATTAGATTTTTATAAAAATAATATAATTAAAAAAACCTTATGTTTTTATACATTTACCTGAATATATTTTACATATAATCACGCTTTGATTATGTAAGTTTTGTATAAATGTATTTAGCGTGTATATAAATCTCAAAAATCTGATTTTTTTCTATCAAAATTTTGTAAATAGTTTAGCTTAAAAAGTATCGTCTAAGAAAGATAAAATTGACACTCTTGTAACTGACGATGAGTATCTAAAATTGAAATAATTACCGTAGATATAGAGTTGCAAGTGATCAGTTGAGGTGACATGACACATTATTTCACATTAGTAAACTATCTCCACATTGCACATTCTGCCTTGAATGCACGTATTGATAATTCAATGTACTTCTGGAATTTAATATTGAGTGTACATGCTTTCGCGCGCGCGTAAAGTCAAGCGGAAAAAGAACTCGAGGGATCTTTGCAAATCGACAAAAGGATCCGGGGCGCGAATTCCTTCTCAATCGCGGGAACCGAGAGCGCTCTCGAAACTTTCGTTCGTTAATCTCAAAGAGCTCTTCTTTCTTATCAAGGTAAGTAATATGTTTTACGATACTTTTCCGAACGTAATGGAATCTCACGTCGAGATTAGCAAACGATCAATTTGTTTAGTGTCAATGCTTTACTCTTACAAAGAATTTAGAAGAAAAATCAAAATTTTGAGATACCTATAGAGTATTAATGGAAAAAAATAAACAAGAAATATAAAAGTACGAAAATTAAATGATATTCAAGAAATCCATCACGAGATGTAGTCATCGATACTGGTATGACGTTATAGATCGATGGACGTTTGAGGAACGCGATTCATATCACATATACTTCAGCACAGGAAACACGTTACTTCCAAATATTCGTGTCAGAAATGCGAATTTTTGCGAAGGTGCTTTAAAAATACGTTTATAGAGGACGCACATAAGCGGTTGGTTATTTGGATTTCGACACGCTAGTTACGGTGGTAGAAGAGAGTGAGAAAAAGAAAGACAAGAGTTTAAAAGGGCGGCTACAATGGAAAAATTCGTTCGATATTATTTCAAACTTGTTTGAAACACGAGGTAGATATGTCGGGTTCGCGCGCCCGGTCTCTCACGCACGTGCGGCGTAGGGTAACAGTCAAACACTTGGCACCAGCCGGCGCCGGGTATGTGACATGAATATTTGTTTCTAATAAGATATGCTGCTTCGCCAGCACCATTTGACGCACCTCTCGCCATGCTTACGTTACAACTATTGTTCGCGAGACGGGATCCAATTTTGCAATCGATTTTTCTATGATGCACGGCGAGGAAATTGGATATCGAACTTGTATTTGCACGACTTTAATCTCTGCCATACGGCCAATCGTTCCGGGTTATTGTACGTTACGTTTGCTCGATCAATATGTGTGTGGTAATCTTCATATGTATATTCGGTTCCGCGAGAAAAAAGAGATTTCTCCTTGTCCAGCTGTTAGATCAACATTGACGGTATATAAATTAAGCATTAAAACAAAATACACTGTATAGGTACTACCAATCGGCTTGTCTTTTACGTACCTACTAATTTGAATTTTGTAATCGCTCGTCTCTTTCTGTGCATACATAAAATCGAATTTGTTATAGCTCTTATATCTATTTTTCAAAAAAGTAGATCTTTTATTTTTGCTTCTCAAAATAAGTGTGTCTTATGTACGTATTAACTCTGTAAAATAACTTAATTATATTAATATTTTTTCATGCAAGAGTTTCAAAATATTTTTAATAGCATCGAGCAATAATATTGTTTCGCGTTCATCGATTCTTCGGAGCAACTCATAAGATGATTATCTCATAGACCTGGAAATTCACGAAATTCTACGCACATAGTTTCCCTTATAGCGTACACTCCGTGGAATTTCCCTTCGAGGCATCGACCGGAAATGCTAACAATTGGCGTGCTCGCAACAACTAGAACTAATAATCTCGATCGAGTCTTCCAACTGACACCGGGAATGTTTAATTAAGATTTGTGAATAATTCAGTACACATTGCATAATGTTCTTGCTATTTACTAAGTTTTCGTTAAAAAAAAAAACATATTATCCTGGACATATTAAATTGAATTATTCAGAAAGTCACATAGTTCAGACAAATTTTGTTGCTTTGTATTTCTTTTGTTTTATCTTGAAGATTAAGTTTCGCCGAAACTATTATCCGACATTGGCCGACACTAAATTTGTTGACAGATCAACAGATACACAAAGCACGTAACTTACTGTGAAGATTCGCACAGCGTTTATTTTCGACGTCGCGGCTTTGCGACGTCGTCGAATCTCTTCTTCACCTCCACTTGGATTAGCTAGATACTCTGCTCAGGTGGCGAAAGGAGAGATCACGAGGCTTTTTATGGGAACGCTTCGCGTCGCATTAACGGCGAGATGGATCACGTTCTTCCACGCTCGTAAAGTAATGCGCGCTGGACTTTGTTTAGGTCCTTCGCCGTGAAAGTGCACGTAAGCCGTTCTCTGCCTCTCTATTTTTCACTCTCTCTTTCCTTCTTTTTCTCCCTCACCCTCTGTCTCTCTCTTTCTCTTTCCACATTTCAGCTCTGATCAATCCTCTTTTTTCATGATGGTTTTTTTACGTTTTTCTTTCTCTTCTTTTTATGTATGTTCTCTTTTATATAGAAGGATAGTTCTCGCGCGTCCGACAATCGTCGTTTGGCACGGTCGTCACGGTCGACGGTAGCAAATTGCATCCAGACCCTTTTCCTTTTCTTGATGTTACGCATGCGACGAGTTTGACGCTTCTTCAACGACACGTACGCGAATTCTCGGCTCATTTTGTTCGATTTGATTAACCTGTAACAAGAACAAAGAACTTTGAACAGCAGCTTTTAGAACATATCATTTTACATTTTACATATCTATATAAATATGTAAAATGTGCAAAATTCTAACTTTATAACTTTTGTTTTCCAAAATGTCTTTTCACAATCAATAAGTACATATCATGTTGAAATCTAGTTATAAAGTTTCTTATAATCTTTAACTTCTATCGAGAAAGTTTTAAAATAATAATAATTCTTTATGTAAGTCAATAGAGAAAATCTGATGATTTTTTATAATTTCACACTGATATGCTAAAAATACTCAGAAAAAGAAACTATATTATTTAAAAAGAAAATTGCAATATATATATATATATATGTAAAGTAGTCCACAATGATCAATAAAATGCTTTAAAGATAAAATTTCTCTGGTATTTAATACTCAAATATTCGTCGTACTCATTTATGATTATAAAATAGATGATTCGATTTCTTTCTCATTATAGAAAGGTGCAAGTAGCACGCGTCTTCTATTTGTCATTATATAGAGATTTTTTTCTTGTGTTTCTACTTTTTCAATAACAAATTTGAATGTCAAATTCAGATATGCTTGCACTTTTTAAAAAAACAGATTATTTACATACTTTGTATTCTTTCTTTTCTTAAAAAACCATACTTTATCCACAAAGACGGTCTATTTTGTAAAAGTAAAAAAATAAATTGTAAACTTCTATTTATTAATAAATGCGACATCCGTGATTTTATCTTTTTCCATTGCGAAGAGAGAAGTAAAAATTGATATTGTTGCGTAAAGGTCTGTAATATTTTACATCAAAACTTCAATACATAAAAATCATCAATACATAAACGTCGCAATAACTAAATGAAAACACAACGGTTGTTTTAATGATATCAGACAACATTTGATGCGCAGTCATTCACACTCGCAAATTCTCTTCTTACTCTTGGAGTTTGATTAACTTCAGGGAGTGGAGCATGTTGAAACGCGGACGATTATTACCAAGAGAATGTCCCATCCACAAATGAGGTCCATCTTTCAAATTTCCATCTCGTTGTTGTCTCGTTGTTCGACGAAAATTATCCTTCTAACTCGTTTATACGAGTCTCGCTGCAAATTCTACACGAAACTCTCAGAGATTGATGTGACGAATTAGATATTAAAACTCTTGTAAAATGTCAAAGTCTTCAAGTGATGTACATAAAAAAAATAAAAAAATATTTCTCTGTAAATTTATAAAAACTGAAAAAGTTTAAGAATAAGAAAAACGTGACTCTGTACGATCTATTTCTATGTGTTGACGGGATGATAATCGAATGTCGATTGGCTGTCACGACTGACGCGATAAATTGCATCTCGACCTTCTTTTCTTTCCAATTGGTATGCTGACCGCTTGTGATATGCCCACTTCTCAAGCGAATATGACTTCTCATATATCTGGACATAGCATTTTAATTAATAAAATCGATCGTAATGAATAATCCATCTGTCGATAACGATATCCAACACTTGTTGGAAAAAATGAGAAACCAAGAAAAAAAATGGCAAAGATACAAAATTTCGCAAAATGCGCGAATATATAATACTCTCTTCTATATTCAATACTTAATATATAATCTACCGTAAACTTCTTACAGCTATAAATATATACTTACCTATATAGATATATATTTGGTAATACTACTTTAAAACTCCGTTTCTGACAAAGTCACGCAAATTCAACCGCGTATACGTGTGCGAATTCAACGTCGTTCTTGCTAGTAAAAGTGAACCAGCGCTTGGTGATAAGACGATTTCGTTTGTGCGCGGAGGAAAGTAATCCTGAGTTATGCGATACCTTACCATTCTCGGAGTACTTCTTGAGGGCGACCTATTTCGATACAGGTAACGAAAAATGACACGACTGTGGGAAAGCACTCCGTAACTCGGTGAAAGAATAAAACTTATCTCAACATAGACATTTTTAATGATCACAATTCCATACGCTCATAAAAAAGAAACTACAAAAAAAAATATAAGAAAAAAAGAATAAAACTTAAATTGTTAGTGTTAGATAGAATCGGCATC